GTCTGATCCCGGGCGTGCCAGCCTGGTGTCGTGGCTGAGAGCGGCGGACTCTAATCCGGAGAGCCGGGTTGGATTCCCCACCCCTCCTCCTCCTCCTCCTCCTCCACAGGAAGCCTGCTGGGTGGGTGACCTTGGGCCCCTCCCGGTCCTCTCACTGAGCTCTCTCCGCCCCACCTGCCTCACGGGGATGCCTGCTGTGGGGAGGGGAAAGGAAAGGCGACGGTCAGCTCCTTGGCGGCTCCTGAAGGCGGTAGAGGGAAGTGGGGAATGAAAGCCTCCCCTCCTTCCGGGGCCCCGGGCTCTTTGCTTTTCCAGAAGAGGCCCCGTTTGTTCCGTGCTGAAGGGTATTGCTGTGTGTCCCCTCGCCCCGCTCTTTAACCCTGACTGTGATTGGATGTATACCCCTTGCCCTCCACTCAGAGTCTCAGAGCGGCTTACCATCTCCTTTCCCTTCCCCTCCCCACAACAGGCACCCCTGTGAGGTAAACGGGGCTGAGAGAGCTCATGACAGAAACTGCCCTTGAGAGAACAGCTCTGACAGAACTGTGGCTTGCCCAAGGTCACCCAGCAGGTGCAGGTGGAGGAGTGGGGAATCAGACCCGTTTTCCCCACATTAGAGTCCGCCTGCACTTCAACCACGACACCAAACTGGCTCTCGCTGCTCCCCGGAAGGTCCTTCCTCTCTAGGAGAACAGCACTGGACACAGGCGCTTGGGAGCCTTCCTCGCCGGGCGGGACTCTGGCTTTTCAGCCGGGCGGCCTCCCAGTTAGAATCCACCAGGACACCCAGTGCAGGCCTCTTGACCTGTTGCCCGTGGATTTATTCACTGGCTTTGTTTTTGGCCCACCTTCCTGGGTGAGGCTAAAAGTGGACGGGGGGTGATGGGGAAGGGCTGTCCGGCCACAGCTGACTTAAAAGCAAGAGACGTTCAGAAGGTGGCTGGCCACTGCCCGCCTCTGCGTAACGACCCTGGACTTTCCCTGGCGGTCTCCCAGCCAAGGACTAGCCGGGGCAGAACCTGCTTAGCTTCTGAGGTCTGACGAGGTCAGGCTAGCCTGGGCCGTGCAGGTCGGAGCAAGAGAGGAACAGAGGTGGTTGGCCATCGCCTGCCTCTGCGTGGCAACCCTGGGCTTCCTTTTCAGGAGACTGGGCTCAGTTGGGCAGGGCAAAGGCATGTTATGAAAACGAATACACTCGAGACGGACGGAGTGGCCACGTGTGGCCTTTAGAGTGAGGAGAATCCTCTCTGTGGCTGGGAAGGGAACCTTCTTCAGCGGTCAACTTTGGCGGGGTCCAGTTCTCACTTTCCTGGGGCTGACCCCCCCCCCGCCCGAACTGCTGCTGGACCTTTCCTTTCCCGCCTGGGCACGGTGCTGAAAGGTGCCCCCCCCCAGGGCCCCCGCCGACGGTTCTGGGCCATTTGCCTTCTCGGCTTTCGGTTTGCAGCAACTGCAAGGAGATAAGGGGGCTGGGGGGGGGGGCTGACCCTGCCCGTTCCGGGCTGAGCGCTGGTAGGCGATTGCCAGCTCCATCAGATTAGGCCGATGTGTCCTTTCACCCGTGAAGAGTAAAGCTGATGTTTATCTCCGGTGTGACGGCTGGAAGCCGCTCCTGCAAGGAGGCCTGTGGGCATTTGCCCTTTTCGGGCAGGGATAACCTTTCCTGGTTGGTAGCCGGACGCCCGCCTTCGGTGCCTTTCCCAAGAGCTGGCTGGGTGTGTGCGTGGCAGGGTCCGACGCAGGTGCCCCTATCACATAACAAGTGTGGGCGCTTTCCCTCGGGCGGGGAAGAGGCGGAGGCAGCGATGGGAGGCTGGGATTGTTACTTCACAAGCCTGGAATGCAGAGGCCGAGTGAGTGCCGGTGTGGAGGGGTCACGGGTATCAACTGGAATAACTGCCGGCACTCCATCCTTAGAGACGGGGGCTCTTGAAACAGATATCCTGAACGTCTGAGAGCCAAGTCACTGGGCCGTGCAGTGGGTGGAGAAAGCGGTCCCCTCCAAGGAGTCTCCTCAGGCCAGCTTTGAAGTCACTTCTTGGCTCTGTCTGACGCAAGACACAACACAGGCCATGTCCAAAGCGGTTCCCTTTTTGGGTCGCTTTGAGCTTGCATCCAGCTTCTCTGTCCAGACACGGAAAGTTGCAGGGGCTGCGTTTTTGAGGAGTGTTGGGCCTGCTTGGTACCCCATCTGTCCACAGGTGCTCTAGATGTTATTCTGCCTCCTCCCATGTCTGTCATGGCAGCCAACTGACCCCCGACACACACACACACTGCTTTTGGACTTCCGTCTCAGTGGCAGAGCCTCTGCTTGGCAGGCAGAAGTTTCCAGGTTCAGTCCCCGGCATCTCCAGTTAAAAAGGACCAGGCAGGAGGTGATGGGAGAGACCTCCGCCTGAGACCCTGGAGAGCTGTCAAGAGGGGCTGTGGCTCAGTGGCAGAGCCTCTGCTTGGTCTGCTGAAGGTCCTGCGTTCAGTCCCCGGCATCTCTAGTTAAAAAGGACCAGGCAGGAGGTGATGGGAAAGACCTCCGCCCAAGACCCTGGAGAGCTGTCGAGGGGCTGTGGCTCAGTGGCCGAGCATCTGCTTGTCATGCAGAAGGTCCCAGGTTCAATTCCTGGTAGCATCTCCAGTTATAAAAGGAGCAGGTAATAGGTGAAGGGAAAGACCTCCACCTGAGACCCTGGAGAGAGCTGCTGCCAGTCTGAGTAGACAATACTGACCTCAAAGGTGAGGGGCCGTGGCTCAGTGGCAGAGCCTCTGCCTGGCAGGCAGAAGGTCCCAGGTTCAATCCCCGGCAGCATCTCCAGTTGAAAAGGACCAGGCAGGAGGTGATGGGAAAGACCTCTGCCCGAGACCCTGGAGAGCTGTCAAGAGGGGCTGTGGCTCAGTGGAAGAGCCCCTGCTTGGCATGCCGAAGGTCCCAGCTTCAATCCCCTGCAGCATCTCCAGTTAAAAAGGACCAGGCAGGAGGTGATGGGAAGGACCTCCGCCTGAGACCCAGTTTGGGCACTCGGTCTCTAAAAGGTTCGCCATCACTGCTCTAAGCTGTGGAGTCTTGTGAGCAGAAATTCTACTGTGTGAGCTCCTGGGCATTCAAGTTGTGAGCGAGGCATTTGGCTCCTGCATACATTCGTTTGCTCTGGAGCCACATCCTTCCTGAGCTAGGACAGAAATGTGTGAGCCGGAGGCTAAAAAAACTGAGCTAGCTCACACCAACTCCGCTTAGAGGGAACACTGGTGGCCACGTGGGCGAGGGAGAAAAGAGCTCCTCCGCAGCAGCAGCAGCAGCAGCGTTGGCCAAAGGGGCTTTTGGTGATTCTCCCGGGGTGGGGGGTGGGCACTTTGGATCATTCTGGTTAGCAGGCAGCAGGGACAGGACAGAAAGGTGCCCGGTCTCTCTGCCGGCCCTCCGCCTCCTGCTGCTGTGGGAAGTCCGTTGTGGACTCTGTTATCTCAAGCAAACGTTTCCTCCTTGACTCCGGAACAGCCACTCGGGCTGCAGTGACCGGTCAGGGTACCGTACGGCACGTCTCAGGCTGGGCGCTGTCTCTGAGAACAGCAGTCCTGGCCTTTTCCCTCGCAATCTGCTGGCCTGTTCTCTGGGTTGTATTGGGGGGGGGGGAGCAGGCAGAGACCCCTTGGACCCCCATCTCCCGGCCCTGGGCTTTCTCTCCGAAGGCTGGGAACCGGATTTGTGGGGAGAAGAGAGGGCGGAGGAGTGGAGGCACTGACGGGCCAGGTCGTCTTTCTCTCCAGTTGGGTGTAGTGGCTGAGAGAGCATGGACTCTAATCTGGGAGAACCGGGTTTGATTCCCCACTCCTCCTTCTGCATGCAGCTGCTGGTGTGGCCTTGGGTCAGTCACAAGTTCCCTCTCAGAGCTGTTCTCTCAAGAGCAGTCCTCGAAAAGAGCTCTCTCAGCCCCACCGACCTCACAGGGTGTCTGTTGTGGGGAGGGGGAGGGAAGGGAAAGGAGACTGTAAGCCGCTCTGAGACTCTGAGTGAAGGGTGGGGTATAAATCCAATCTCCTCCTCCTCTTCCTCTTCTTCTTCATCCTCCTCCTCCCCCTCTGGGGTGTTCTTGACAGCACCTGTCCGGTGGGGGTGGTGGCAGCTTCCAGCTCTGCTCCCGTGGCACAAATCTGGGTTTGTCCGGAAGGCTGGGGGTGGGTCCCAGCCAAGACCCCTTGGGCGGTCCAGGCTCCGAGGCTCCTTCGGCGTGACCGCCAGCACGGGGGGGGGGAGCCCGTTCTGCCCCCACGGCTGGGATGTGGGCTCGGCTGCTTCGGCTCTGAGGGTGGGGGTGTGTGTGGAGCTAGAGTTGCCTGCTTTCCCTCCGGCGAGGGCCAGGACCTCCCCAGCATGGGCTGCTTCTGTACCAAAACCTGTATGGAGGGCTTATTGGCAGAGAAAACGGGAGTGTGTCAAAACCTCCCTGGAAAACCGCTGGGGAGCGTCTGGGACTCGCCCCCTGCCACGGCCACGCAGCCCCCAAGGTGCCAGCCCCTTTAAGAGCTTTGGCTTCCTCCCTGGCCTTGAAACAGGCAGCGGTTGGCCTTTTTGGACCTCTTGGAGCCGTGGGCCCTGCGAGTGGGAGACCGGCCTCTGCCGTCCCCTGCCCCCACTCATCCTCCCCCCCCCGCCCTTCTCTCTCTCTCTGCCTCCCCCCCGCAGGTGTTCCAGAGCCCCCACCAGGTGGTGGTGGTCCTGCTGATCCAGGCACTGGGGGCCCTGGTCCCCTCCCTCCCCGTCTGCCTCAGCAGTGCCATGGAGCGGGCCGCCCCCGAGAGCAAGCTGGGGCAACTCCTGGGCCTGCACGCGGCCACGGCCTACTTCGCCCGGGGCCTGGAGGCCGCCCTGCAGCCCAGCTTAAGTAAGTGACCCCCCCTCCGCTCCCCCCTCCAGTGGAAATCCCTGCCCCTTCCCCCCCCCTCCACGCCGTGGGTTTCCGTGCACGGGCGTGTTTACGGGAAGGCGGCCGCGTTTGTGTTTGCCGGGCCGAGCCTTGATGGCATTTGTGGTTACATAACCGTTTGTACCAAACTTTGTTTAACTTGCTTTGGCGGTGTTGACACAGTCCTCCGGCCGTGTTTGCCAAAGTGGAACATTTCTGATACTACCTTGAGTAAATACCACTTCGCACTTCTGCTCCTTGCAAACACCGCTGACCCGGCCTCTCGGGGTCAGGGGGTGGCTCCGTTTTGGGCGGGGGGGGG